AGCAGTGAGTGGCGTAGCAGTGAGTGGCGTAGCAGTGAGTGGCGTAGCAGTGAGTGGCGTAGCAGTGAGTCGCGTAGCAGTGAGTGGCGTAGCAGTGAGTGGCGTAGCAGTGAGTGGCGTAGCAGTGAGTGGCGTAGCAGTTGGGGGGGGGTGTTGCGAGGGGTAGCTTCAAGTTACAGGAACCTGGGGTTCATAATAGACCACATGATCAACTAGGCATGATTAATCTTAAGTTATTTCCTGCTGGAACCCCATTTTCGACTGTTTGCATGTAGATATTTATATATTTTTGATGCAAATAAAGTTGGTATAAATAAATAAATAAATAAATAAATAAATAAATAAATAAATAAATAAACATAGTGTAAATAAGATTGTGTTACAAAATACGCTGTGACTAATGTTGCTGTTGTTTGAGGCATGTTTAAGAATCAGTACACTGACGAGTGGTACTTTATAGGTGAGAGGTCGCGATGAAGAATGCCGTTTGAGTGGCAGCACATCTACAAGTTTTAAGTTGGTGGTGGATCTGTAAGTAATGTCACACCTCACTGGTGGTGATTCTATTCTCATTGTTGTGATATTGCGAGAAAGGTTCATGTTCATGGGAACGGAGATCAGTATAATGCTTTTTAATAAGTAAAATTAGGAAACTGATCCTTACGACAGTGGAAAGAGATGACAACAGAAATTAAACAAAAAAAAATAAACTGCAAAATATATTTCACATCATTTGATTTCGGTTTTTATCTCCTCTCCCTGCCGTAAGGATCTGTTTCCTAATGTCATTTATTATTTCAACATTTGTCCAGTTCTTATGATAGATCCGGCGCTCCTCACTGTTTTGTCGCTGTGGTTTTGCCGTTAGTATAAGTTTTAAAAAAATCATTTTTGTTGAGTAAAGTGGTTTGATTTCTTGGTCTGATAGGTATGAAGGAGATAGGTTTGTACAAGAGGTGCACACAGACTATGTAGTGTGGGAAGAAACAGGAAGAACGGACTATGGCTACACCGCAACTATGAGTGAGGTATGAATTGTACTTCTCAGCGGGTTAATCAGAAAAATACGTCTAGCGGTCTATCGCGAATGCCGTTCTCTTATTGGCTAAACTAATCGCTATCTATTCTGTTGTAGACAGTGAGTAGCGTAGCAGTGAGTAGCGTAGCAGTGAGTAGCGTAGCAGTGAGTAGCGTAGCAGTGAGTAGCGTAGCAGTGAGTAGCGTAGCAGTGAGTAGCGTAGCAGTGTGACTGTGTACGGTTGCTAAAGGAGATCAGTCATGAAATTTGGAGTTATTTTGGCTACGTACAAAATTACCTAAGGCGTTAAATTAAAGGAAACTTGAAAACAGTAGTTTATAATTATACCATAACGGAACAAGGATGGAGAAGATTAACACAGATTACAAACTGAATTACAAGCTGAACTTTTCAACATGCGCAAATCGTGAAGTAGCTCCTTTAACAAAATGACGGCCGCTTCTTTGCCGCGTTTTCTAAGTGTCCGTGAAGAGGATTTAGATAAAGTTTTGAACGACTAGTAGATTTATACTAAAACAATTAGATTGTGAAAAGTGAACTGGTCAACATGACACGTGCATGGGACAAAGAAAAAATCTGAGTCTCGACAGGAATCGAACCCATGATTATTCGATTATTTGCTATGCATTACAGTTAATCTTTAATCTTTAATCTTAATCTTTAATACAAATTCCAAATTACATTACATTGAACAAGTCAATCCAATGAATTTGAGGACAGCTTAAAACAGAATACAAGATTCCTTAATATAAGCCGCCTTAGTTGACGCAGCTTGAGTCAACTATCACGCGATAGGAATCCTTGAGAGCGAATACTTTAATTGTTAAATAGAGCTAGTACCACTGTACTTTACTTTTTACTCGTGGTTACCGTTGGTTTGGCAGGCCGGGTGTTTATCTGAAGCACAGACGTGGAGGAAGCTGACAGGCAATAACTCTGAAGATTTAAACAGCATTTGGACACAAAATGTAGGCAACGTTCCGTGCTATTAACCATTACTTATTTGAGTTTATACATGGTTTTGTTAAACCTAATTCAACTAGAATATGTTTGTAATTTCAAAAGTCATGTAATTCATATAAAAGGCCATTTCCGAGTTACCGTGTGCGTCTGTTTCAAAACGAGTCCTCGTCCAAAACCTTTCATATTATAATGAGTTTGGTTTACATGAAAACGAACTTGAACGCGGGACACATTTTCATATGAATGGTTTGGCATGAAGACTCGTTTTGACACCGAGGCAAGAGCGTACTCGGAAATGTCCCGACAAAGCGAAGTTGTTAACTTTGCGGTGGATATAACTTGGAAAATCCTGTTTCAGACTTATCGAAGCTGTTTTGAGTCAGCCAACAATGGAAAGGCATTTGATGGAAGCCAACCGTATGAGATTCTAAACTCCACAGGAATCTCTCAGCTGGTATTTCAGGGCTCAGGGACCTTTCAGTTTCAGCTCAGAGTTGTTGGTACTCATTTGAGGTGAGCCTTCATTTAAAATAGTTTTCTGGGAAATTTTGCTGGGTAAAAAGTACTACTGAAAGAGTGATAGTCACTCTTTTGACCCTCAGCGCAATCAACTATTAATAGAAAGTAGGGAAAATATTGTGTGTTTTGGGGAAAGAGCATGACCACAGTAACTTATGCTAATATGTAGGGCAGAATGACAACATACTCTTAGAAATTCGCCGTGCTGTCAGAAACCTTGTCCGTCTGGAGTTTTCCACAAGTTATCACACACCATTTTGTTAAACTCCTGCATTGATAATTTCTTAATTTCTGGCAAAGTATCTTTGGAATTCCTTGCCTTAAATAGCAGGGTGATTTATGTACATGAAGTGTTTTAGTTCTACTTTTGTAAGGTCGGTGAGTCTGAATTGCATTGCGCATCTCTAATGCGCAGAATATCGCGCACAATTAGCGCGCGCACATAAAGAAAATGGCGGCTTTTTTAAACGACTTGGCTTGCAAGAGACAAATCATCGTTTTTTTCTTGGAAACGAGTACCAGGACCTAACGATTTTTTCATCTTTCTATACAGTGAATAAAGACCCATTTCTATTGCAGAGTAAAAACGTATTACTTAAAGTGAAAGGATAGCTAGCACTCGTAAAAGATAATATGTGACCTCAAGAACACTGCGTGCTTGGAACATATTGAATCGGTGTCGACTAAATCAGGTTGCCTTTATCATGAAACGTACATCAAATTGCTCCTTAACATTGATGTAATACATCCATTGTTGTATTTCACGCTGACCCGTCTCCCTATTTTTCTGCTCTCACAAAGCGTGTAATAAATGATTTAATATAAACATTTCTGAAAGCTGATAATTTAAGGAATTATTGGGTTGATTGAAGGTCTTTCCGCTCCTAAGCGAATACCGGGACCCCACTTTTTATTTCAAAATTTAAGTTCTCTTGATACAAGTAGCCAACAGGTAAAGTTTGAAAAAAGTTCTATTGTGAGTTTTATTTTGATGGAATGATCTTAGTCACCCCTGCAATTACATTCTGCTCCTTTCCAATTCATTTCGGCTATCTTTTTTTTTTTTCAAGTTAGGGAACGGACCCTGTCACAGACGAAAATTATGCTAACCCTTTCCGATTTTATGCCAAAACGCCACTACCCTTGTTTTTACTGTTACTTCTGTAAGAGCTGGTTATTTGATCGAGACGGAGAATTTTTATTTATTTATTTATTTATTTATTTATTAATTACAGATTCACTCCACTAAATTACAAACAGATAAAAAATTAAATTAAAATTAATCGCTCCTATAAAGAAAAGTTGTGGAGAAGGAGACAACTAAAAGCGCTGATGCACCATACTAGGGATGCCTCCTCTAGTAAAAGTATAAGAAAAATATATACAAGTATAAGAATAGATGTCCTAGCTATCCTTAATAAAGCTTAAAACATTCTTTTTAAAAGTTAACTATTTGATTCTCTAATATGATTAGGTAAACCACTCCATTCATCAACAATACGGTTTAAAAAAACTATATTTGAAACCATTAGTTCTACTAAAATTTGGAATAAGGCCTGTGCGTCATTTTTCCCCAAGTCATAACCCGTGTTTCTGTCCTTACAAAATATGAGCTTATTTGATGTGTATATCGTTATGGCCATTAATTACATTGAAGATTAGCTAGAGACAGGAGCGCCTGTATTGCCATATTTCTTAGTGCTGTGCTTTTTCCGTCCACGCAGTTTCTGTCAGCTGACCACTCGTTTCTCATTGGACGTGTCAGACACCGAAGGCAAAGATTACTTACCGCAGCTTGTGTCGGTTGTTGTGGTGACGCTTGGTAGTACTGTGCTGCTTTACATCAGCTTTAAACACTATACCAAGAAAACACTGAACAGACACATGGAGGATGAGGAGGAACAAAAAAGACTAGTGGAACTCAAGTAAGTCATGATCTGTACAATCAATAGGCAGGCGATGTACTTGATTACGTTTGTTTCCCTGTGTGCCTCTGGTTTCTTGTTTTCTCCCGCTTGCTAGCTATTTGCTACATCTCTTTTTGTTCAAGTTCCGCGAGGTTTATAGCATTTTTTTACGGTGTCCATAGTGGTTTATTTGGTGGATCTTTTTTAATTCTTTATAGTGCAATAATTGACAACTTGTTATTATCAAAAACACAAGTTGACGTCAGTTTTTCATGCGTCTGTCCTGTTATTGACAATGAATTTCGTCATAACATTGTCCCAGGGGGGTACTCCGAATTTCAAGTGACAGGGATGATCTAAGGAGTGTCTCGGGTAGGAAAATTTCGACAAGTATTTTTTTTCTTCAGTTAAGTTATCTGCTATAGTGACTTCAGATAGCACACGAACGCCTTCCTTCAGGCCATCTTGCGTCACTCTTCAGTAGCGGAAGCATTCATGAGTTTTGTTTTTTAGTTACTGTTTGCCTGCACAGTCATACGTGCGGACAGTTTTTTCATCAATTCGCCCTGGAATGATATTAGAATATATTTTATGCCGTGAACAAAGTCATGACGGATGCAACATAGTTTATCAAGCATGACAATCATTTATCTAATAATAATTTGTAAATAACTTTGTTGGGTTGTTCGTAATGTTCTTGCCCAGGGTGGTCTTGTTTAGAGTTGTCATTATGTATGATGTTATTGTTGTAACAGAATATTTTCTTGGGTGTCTCAAGTGTTGTTACAATGGCCACCAGGTTCTCACTCGAGACGGTGTGATGAATAAACAAACACAAACGTGCCATTACTAATGTTTCTATTTTTCGTGTTGTATCATTTAAGGTTACAGTATACCTTCAGGGGTGTCTCGCGCGCAAGCGATGTAGCGCGTGCAGTTTAAGCTGTAGATAACTAAACCCCTATATCAAATTAGAGCTTATGGAGCTGGCTATCAAACTATACCAACAATTTTGAAAGAAAATGAATTGTCGAATTTTTCACGACCACTAAATGCGAGCGCCCGAATCACCTT